GCGGCACCCACAGAAATTAATGGCAATCCCCACCTGTAAGGTAGCCTCTTGTTCACGCACAGGCTGAGGAAAAACGATCAACTGCTCTGCCTCGCCAAGCTTTTCCCACTGCTCGCAGTTGTCATCCAAGTTCTTCAGAGCATCAGTGCTGCACTCAATAAACAAAACCGAGGAATGAAGTACATTCATATCCTAGTGTCAAATAAGTACGTGAATAACTCATTGTACACTGATTAAATGATACGGGGGACGCTGAACGCGTGGAGATATTATTCTACATTTGCTTTGAGCAACCCCTCTCGCTGACAAGTGCTTGCTATAGTACTTATGATTAATGCTTATTTTAGCCGGCACACTAGGCGTATTTAAGCCACTTGCATTGTCTTTTGCTTCTCGATAGCATCCAATTCCACGAAAAGAGGCCGTACAACGTGACGGAGGAAGCCCAGCTGACTAGTCGCCAGTTGTGCATGAGTCTCCCTATCGCAGAGAGGTGACATTGTCCGGCCTAAACGGGACTCTTCGTCCCCCTGAAGATAAAATTCTGTCGTTGCCCGCGCCGTCCATTCGAAATGCTGTTTCCACTTGAGGGCGCCATGCCCAATATCCGATGCTCGCATGCACAACTCTGCCGCCAGCCTGAGCATCAACACGCAACACAGTTTGTGCAGACACTAGCAAGGGTTGCCAATAATAGAATCCAGCATTTGTCGTAGAGCTGCTCTCTACCTTCTCATAGGAGTAACCGAGATCCGGACATCAGCTCTATCAATTGCGCTGTTTTCCTGCCGTATTGAAACGAACACCGCAGGTTCCCCTAGCAATTTACAAACGTATGCGGTCGTGTTTCGTCGCTGATTGCATACCATCGATCGTCCTCGTTCTTCTTAAAGTTAAACTGCTCTGAGCCCCGGATAGTACGGAATCGATTTAAAAACTCGAAGTGTGTCCTCATGTCTGTGGCCAGAATGAGTTCGATTATCTTGGACCGCACTTCGCGAGCTTCCTGTGCCAGCATAGCAAAAAGGAGGACAGTGCATACTAGCTCCTGAAGGAGTATCGAAAGACACAAGCACGCGCTCAGCCTTACTACAGCGTCCTTTCCGCCTATGGATTATGCACCCCTTAATCAAGTACGCACAGATTCAAAGGGCTTACTGCATCTGATAGGAGGGCGAAAAGGTTGCAGGATGAATCATTAAGAACTCGAAAGGTCAGGGAACAGTGAAAATTCTCGAGTACTGAGGCGTCGTTGAACAGGATGCTCTGTTTTTGCGGACCCCACAGCGCAAGAAAAGCCAAAGACAGCAATAGATACCGCAGAGGACAGCAAAAAATACTCTTGGCGTTTTCCAGTTGCAGAACAGTATCGTCAAGTCCTGAGCGGCACTATCAGGTCTACAATTGAAATTCTCACCAGTGCCGACATTTCCGCCACAAAGAAGTTGTTATTTCGCCCCGG